GGGGGGGCACGGCCTGAGAGGCTTCCAGCTGCCAGCCCCGCCAATCTCCCCCCCTTCTTCCCCCTCTGCCGGTCTCCTCCCCCACCCGCTCCAGCGGCTGACTCCCCGCCTCAGCTCCGGCAGCAAGGCCTGAGCGGCTTCCAACCGCCAGCCCACTGCAGAGTTCCCAGGGCATTCCCTGTGCATGCACAGGAAACGCTCTTTTACTTTTTAGGGGATTTAAATATTTTTTCAACTTTTTAGATTTTTCTGCACATCTGGGGATTGCCCCAGATGTGCAGGAAAATCTCCCTGCCCCCCAGGTGCCCCTATGTGCAGATTTAGATATCCGCACGCAGGGGGCGCCTTCGCTATTAGATATATAGATATATTCTGTGCATTTTATCGATGTTCGTAAGCTGCCTTCAGCTCAAAGAAGGCGGCTAATAAATGTTTTAAATAAAATTAATCTATAATCTAAATCGCCTTAACCTTGTGTCTAGTTAACTAAAACAACCAGGCTGCTGGCAAACAAAACTGGGCAATAAAGGTGCCCTGGGAGGAGGGGGGCAGCAAACTACCTCCTGCCTTTTGCAGCTATGAACTGGTCATTCCTACCCCCTATGCCCCCCTCCCCAGAGGAGCTAGCCCTGCAGCCTGGGAGAACTGGCAGCTCAGCAGCAAAGGAACACAACTCACTTCCTGCTCCGTCACTGCAAGACCTTTGGTCCCCCTTCCCCATGCAACCCCTGCCAAAAGGCTCTGCGGCCAAGAGAGGAAACTAGTTTCCGAGAAGAGAAACCCAGAACATCCACCACTTTGAGGAGGGGGGCAGATAAGAACATGAGCCCTGCTGGGCCAGACCAGGGAGGGTCCCTCCAGTCCAGCCTCCCGTCTCACCCAGGGGCCAGCCAGTCCCTCTGGAGGGCCAGCAACAGGGCAGGGAGGCCGAGGCCTTCCCCTGATAAGAGCACCAGAAGAGCCCTGCTGGGCCAGACCAGGGAGGGTCCCTCCAGTCCAGCCTCCCGTCTCACCCAGGGGCCAGCCAGTCCCTCTGGAGGGCCAGCAACAGGGCAGAGAGGCCGAGGCCTTCCCCTGATAAGGACACCAGAAGAGCCCTGCTGGGTCAGACCAGGGAGGGTCCCTCTAGTCCAGCCTCCCGCCTCACACAGGGGCCAGCCAGTCCCTCTGGAGGGCCAACAATAGGGCAGAGAGGCCGAGGCCTTCTTAAGAACCTCAGAAGAGCCCTGCTGGATCAGACCAGTGATGGTCCATCTAGTCCAGCCTCCCGTCTCACACAGGGGCCAGCCAGTTCCTCCTGAGGGCCAGCAACAGGGCAGAGAGGCCTTCTCCTGATGTTGCCTCCAGGCTCTGGGAACCTTTGAATGTGGAGGCTCCCTTCAGTCACCAAGGCCAGCTGGTAGCCATTGACAGATCTATCCTCCGTGAATCTATCTAATCCCCTATCTAATCTCCTTCTAATAAGCTGTTTATTCCTGTGGCACCAAAAACTCAGGTCACCCCCCACCTGTTTGCCACGGCCAGGCAGAAGTGGCCCAGGAGCCGGGCTGCCCTCCGGGCCAAGTGCATACTGGGAGCACCCTCTAGGCAGACCCTCCCGCCTGCCTGGCCAGGCCAAGGTCTCTCTGGGGCTTTACTCACCTGCTGGGCCAGGGCAGCTGCCAGGAGCCGGATAGCCTCTGCTTTGGCCTGGGCCTTCACCAGCAGAGCGTTGGCCTCCCCTAGGACAGGAAACAACACAAGGCAGCTAGGCCAGTCCCAGCCCCTGGGAGGGCCAAACAACGGCAGCCTCCCAGCACCAGGCATGCGGTGGAGCCAGTTCCCGGGGAAGCTCTCCTCAACCAAGAAGCGAAGGGGTGGAACCCCCACCACGGACCACCCCCGCTCCCCAAAAGCCACAGAGCAGAGCTGCCCCACAGAAAGGAAGAGCCAGGTCACCCACCCCTCAGACAGGCTGGCTCTGCTTCATCTCCCCTGACCTAGAAGAACCAGGTATTCTTTGTACCAGAGGCACTGCCCGGGGGGCTCGGCTCCCTCTTCTTGGAGGGATTCAAACAGACGCCTACGAGTCCTTTCGGTCAGGCAGGCGAGGGCTCTCCCCCGAATGCTCTCCCCCCACTCACCTGCCTGCCCAGCTGCCCCTCAGCTCCAGCAGCCAGGGCACGTTTCGGCCCCATTTCAGGCCCGGAGCGAGGCGCTGCTGGCAGCCTGGGCTGCCTCTGGGGTCTCGTCGTCCCTCTGGCCCCGCACAACCTGCCTTGGCCACCCGCCCCCTTGCCGGCCCTTCTGCCTTACCGGCAGCTTTGTTGATCCGCTCAGCTCTCTCCCCTTCTGAGGCCAGGATCTGAGCCTGCTTCTGCCCCTCGGCCACGTTGATGGCCGACTCGCGGGTTCCTTCCGACTCCAGGACGGTGGCCCGCTTGCGCCGCTCGGCTTCCACCTACGAGAAGAGGCCTCGGTCCGTGTCAAAGCCCATCGTGTCCCTTCCCCCCCCCCCATAGCAAGTCCAAGAGGCCCAGTGCAGAAATGAGATCTCCCTGCAGAAGCCACATGGGAGGCTGAGGGGCAGCAGGAAGTCCGCTCGGTGCTGCTACACGAATCTCCGTCGCATAGAACATTCTCTAGTGCCATCAAAGGAGATTGTACAGGAATAAATCCCCCGCCCTATCCCACTAAGGGATGTTGTCAGGATTCCGCTGGAAAGGGCTCCAGCCACGTGGACGCTCACAGCCAGAAAGCAAAACGCAAAGATGTCCCAGAGCCAGCGGGGGGGCGGGGGGCAGGATCCAACCACCCTCCAAGGAGCCTTCCTCCAATGGAAGAACCACTCAACTTAGAGAGAGACTCCTACAGGACAAGCCCCTTCAGCATACGCTTCTAGCATGCCCAGTCATTTGTTTTCCTGGGGAGAAGTTATTAACGCGGATTAATTTTGCATTAGAATGTTCACTGTTTTTTGAGGATGCTTCTGTGCTTTGAAACTATTTGTCTGTCTCTTGGAGGTTAACTGGTGGTCAACGGATATGGACCTTCCTGTGCCCTTACAAGAGCTAGAAGACTCGTATTACAACATTGGAAAGATAGAAGCCCACCTCCAGTAGATCAATGGATTGAGGTCCTTAGAACACTAGTAGTATTTGTATGTGTGGCCATATAGATGGCAACGGCACATGGCCTTATTTCGAGATATTTGGAATTTCGAGATATTTGGATATATGCTCCTGCAGAGTGCACGGGGTTGGACCTGACTGCAGAACTGAGACCTCCCTGCAAAAGCCACACGTAAGGCTGAGGGGCAGCAGGAAGTCTGCTCGGTGCTGCTACAGGAATCTCCGTCACACAGAACATTCTCTAGTGCCATCGAAGGAGATTGTACAGGAATAAATCCTGTAGATTTGCCACCACTGTTATATTTTTCTCTCTTTTTTATGCAAATCTTTTTTTCTTCTTTCCATTTTTTTAACTCTATGTAGTTGCTGGATTCTCAGTTCTTCCCTTGTTTTTTCTGTTTCTTTGTTTTTGAAAGAAGGAAATGACAAATAAAAGGAAGGCTGCTTAGAGTGGAGGAAGACTTTAAATGAGCCAAAAAGGAAAGCTGAGGTATGACTGTCTTAATAAACAAAGTTCAATATGTTGTTGAAGGCTTTTACAGACAGAGTTCATTAGTTGCTGTAGATCTTCCAGGTTGTGTGGCCATGGTCTTGGCTTTGTAGCACCTGACGTTTCACCAGTAGCTGTGACTGGCATCCTCAGGTATAACACAGAAAAAGAAGGAAATGACAAATAAAAGGAAGGTTGCTTAGATTGGAGGAAGACTTTAAATGAGCCAAAAAAGAAAGCTGAGCTATGACTGTCTTAATAAACAAAGTTCGATATGTTGTCGGAGGCTTTCACGGCCAGAGTTCATTAGTTGCTGTAGATCTTCCAGGTTGTGTGGCCGTGGTCTTGGCATTGTAGCACCTGACGTTTCACCAGTAGCTGTGACTGGCATCCTCAGAGGTATAACAGAGAAAGATGGAGTACTCTCTGTGTCAAGGTGAGAAGAAATAGGGTCGGCAGGTAATTTATATCTACTCCAGAAGGTGGGGTAGGGCTGAGTCATTATCTTGTAGGAGTTCCCCAGGCTATGAACATGCTAATGGAGGAGCTTCCCTGAGGAGGTTCTTTTGTATATGGATTGTTTCCTGAGGAGGTTCTTTTGCATGTGGATTGGCTGTTGAAATTCTAATCTTATCTGTAGTGCTATTGTCAGATGTAGAGCCTTTTGTTTGCTCAATGGAGAGGTAAGGCGGGGGGCTGATCCACCCCACCAGTGCTGTTTTGGACCCTGTACTGAGCCACGTGGCGACACCAGCTTGGCCAGCAGAGTTCTCAGGAAAGCGCTCACGTTTCTGACCCCAGCTTGCCCGCTGAAGCCGGGGATGCCGGCATCCTGCCCCACAGCCAGCCTGTGAGCCAAGCTGGTGGAAGCGCCCATCCCATCGCCAGGAAGGCCAAGGCGGTCCTCCGGGTTCCAAGCCCCCCCCCGCCACCCCCCTTTATCGCTGGGCCTGACCTGCATCTGCATGGACTCCTTCACCCGGGGGGGCACATGGATGTCCTTGATCTCGTACCGCAGGCACCGGATGCCCCAGTAGTCAGAGGCCTGGTTGATGGCATCTACGATGCTGGCATTGAGGTTCTCCCGTTCCTGGGAAGGAGAGCCAGTGGTCAGAGCGGGGAGTGCAGGCATAAGCAACAGCCCCGATGGACCAGACCGTCTAGTCCAGAATCAAGTCTCACACAGCCGCCAACAACCGGGCATAGAGGCCAAGGCTGTCCCCTGATGTTACCTCCTGGTGCTGGCATTCAAAGGGTGACTGCCTCTGAACATGGAGGTTCCCCTCAGTCACCACGACCAGTAGCCAATGAAAAAAATTCTCCCTCCATGAATCCATCTAATCCCCTGTGGCCTGTGGCCAACACTACATCCTCTGGCAGCGAATTCCACATCACAATCACTCTCTGTGTAAAGCAGTATTTCCTTTTCTCTGTCCTGACTCTATTGTTCAAAATAATATAAATGGTAACAGCCCAAGACAACTAATAAACTGGAAAACAAGCTGACACTCAGTGCTTAGGATGAAATGAAATACAATTTCTCTACTGTATTTAACAATGTTAAATTTCGTTTGAAGGCAAATTGATTTGTTTGTATGCCCGGGACAGGATTCTCCAGTAAAATGGATGAGGATAAAGTCTAGTATTTGAAATCATGGCATGGAACATCATGTGAAGACACTATGAATAGTAGGTTTTCAAGAGAGACTACCACGGTGCTTCAGTGTGTTCGGATGAAGTTGTGAACGAAACAAAAATCAACTCCGGGGAGTTTCGTCAACTCACTTCTTTTTTCTGTACTTTTGGTGTGTTAATGGAAGAAAGAATATGTAACAATGTGGAAGCGTTATCAGCTATTATAAAATAATATTGTTAAATACAGTAGAGAAACTGTATTTCATTTCATCCTAAACGCTGAGTGTCAGCCCGTTTTCTTACTCTATTGTTCATCAGCTTCATTGGATGCCCCCAAGTTCTGGCATTCTGGAAGAGAAGCGACGTCTGTCCACTCTCTCCACCCCATGCATGATTTCATGAGCTCTGATCGTGCCCTCTCTTTACGT